TCGACCTGCCGGGCTCCGGCGATCCTTCCGCCTCAGCCTTCCAAGTAACTGGAACTACAGATGCGCGCTACCACGCCTGGCTAATTTTTGATTTTATTGTAGAGATGAGGTCTCACCACGTTGCCCAGGTGGATCTCGAACCCGCGGGCTCAGGCAGTCCACTCACCTCAGCCTCCCAAGGCACAGGATTACAGGCTGAGCCACCAAGTCTGGCTCAAGTTTACATTCTTCTTTTGCTGGAGTACCTCCTGAAGTAATTTCCTAAGAAAGGATGGACAGGAAGTAAATGTTGACTACTTATTGTTTGATACTTTAAAAATTCTCCTTCACATAAATTGCTAAATTGTCTGAGCACAAAATCCTAGGGAGAAAATCATTTTCCCTTGAAATTATAAAGACATCGACCCATTGTGTTTGAACTGAAATAAGTCCAATGCCCATGTGTGTCTGTGTGTGTGTGTGTGTACAGGGAGAGCCATCTTAACCTCAAATTCTGATATGCTTTTTCCTTCTTTAAACAGGATCTCCTCTCACTGAATCTATTTCTAGCTGAACAAGAATTCATATGCATTCAATGAATAAATCATGGAAAAATAGCAGCAGATAAATAATTAAGTAAACGATTATAAGACAGTCTTATTAAAACATAGTTAGGCTCAATGCTTTCATAAACAACAACAAAAGGACTGTGGAATTTTTTCAGCCCACCTTTCAATGGGGGTGATCAACTTTTTTACACACTGAAACCTTAATAAGGATCATTGCTCAGTTGCTTGTTTCTTCTCAAAGACCTCTTGATGATAAACATCTCTGTTATTTGTAATTATATGTAGATTATTCTTTTCTAGATCCAAAATAGACTTTTCTAAATACTACTGAGGAGATTAGCATATGCATATGATTTTATGACTACATTTTAATACCACATTGGCAGTTTATCCCGCTGATGAAACAGTGTTGATTGTCCTCTTCTTCCGTGTCTCTGTCGTGCAAGGCGACCCGACGTGGGGCCTGGGCGAGGCTGCTTTGCAGCTGTGAGTTGGAAAAGCTCAGCTCTTGGCTCGTCTTCCTTAGAGGCAGATATCTGAGTGGCTAGAAACTTCTCTCTTCGGCTTACCAATATTCCAAGCTGTTCTACTTCAACTTGCACCCCATCAGACTGAGAGAAGGTTTATGTGTTCAAGTGCTAGTAATCCCCAGAGAATTTAAGTTATAGAAATGTGAATTTTGAGTGCAATTCTACTTTACTTTTAACTATTTTGCATCTGTAATAGGTGTGCTCTACATTCTATGAAACTTCAGGATTTTATCTTGCAATTTAGTCTTTCAGAATTTAAAGGTAATGTCTTCTGTGTCAGTCAAGAAGATGAAGGAACCTCTGTTTCCACATGGATGTCCTTGCTGAGATATATACGCAGGTGGAATTTTTATTTAAGAAAATACTAAGCTAGACGGGTCTTGCAAAATACCTTTGGAGTACTTTCGACTTGACAACCTCATTTCACCCACTCTTGAAAAAGAATCTTATGTGCATTTTACCCAGTTTCTCTTCTCCTTTTCACCAAATTTGACATATTCCCCTTCTTTTCAAATTCCGCTTCCATTTTTAAATCCACGCCCTCATTACTTAAGGCCTCAATGGTGTGAACCTCTGGTCCAGGCAGCTTGCTCTCCCATCACCACCCATCACCCAAGTCTCACTTCCAAACTGCCTGTGACACCACTGTCAGATTTATCTTTCCAGGATGCTGCCCTGCCAACGTCACATCCCTGCCGATGCACCAGTCTTAGGACCAGATTCTTCAGCCAGTTCCCCCTTCCCATCTTCAGCTCTGCAAAACAGTGAGCCCTGTTGTCCAGCCTTCAAGCCTTAGCCCAGCAGGCAGTAACCCACCCTCTTGCCTCCCCTAGCCCTTGTTCCCTCATATGGCGATATTGGTGTGCACTGTCCAACAGCAGAACTAATTGCTATGTGTACACCTAGAGGACACAGCACAGTGTCTTAAAACTCTTTACTTTCTCCACACTGCTCTGTGCTCAGCAGGTGTTTGATGACTGAGTAAGCAGTAGGGTGTTTTTTGGTTTTTTAAAGCATATTTCTTTTCTTTCTTTTGGGACAAGCTGGGGAATCAGCCAGCATGATAATTCCATCAATTACCATGACTTCTTGAAAGCACTGGAGAACAGCAAGCCAACAAGACCTCAGCCAAAAGAAGGAGAAGAGTGCGCGCCAGTCAATTTTTCCACGCTGACTCCAGAGGAGATTGTGAAGAACATCCAGGAAGTCGTTGACTCCTCCCAGGCAGCTCTGTTAACGGTAGGGCAGACTGAAAGTGCTTTATTGTGAACACTCACCTCCATTCATGAGAATGCCTCTCAGCCCTCCACCTCCCCTCAGAAGCCCTCCGTCTTCTTGTCATTCTCCTTGGGGTGTCTAACTACGCAAGAGCAAATGCGGGTCCATCTTTGCTCTGTAAAAGCTACTATGATTTCACCCCAGCATGTGCTTTCTGAGGCAGAAATGTTCAGGAGTTAGCAAATGCTGGGTGTGTGGGCTGAGGTCATGGGGGTTTTGGGGAAAAGGATCAGAGAACTGAGACCCTTGAATGAGAGTGGGCACAGCACAGCTCATGAAACTCTTGGTATGGCCAGCCATTGAGCCCATGGAAACGGAGGATGCAAGAGGTTGAACAGGGCCTGGTTGAACAGACTTCATCGTGACAGACTCCCAGGAGTGATCGATATTCTACAGTTTCCAACTACATGGCACTTTGCAGGGTGTGTGGAATGACACTGGTGTGTATGGAATGATGCTGTAACCCATGCCGTTGTCCTTGGAGAGTGTGATTTGGAGTCATACTCCTGGCAAGATGGTGGTTCCCAGATGAGTCTCCTGTGGCAATAGCGAGGAGGAAAGATGCCGTCTACAGAGGGCAGGCCTCTGAGATGAATGAGGCATCTCATCTGAGGCCTCCCGTAGGACACTGGCACCTGGAGCCCAAGCAACCACAGCAAACCAGACAGAAAGATCCACTCAAAAACTCTAGGGCCATGTGTGCTAAATCCCCAAAATGAGAACCCCTCTGACACCGCAGAGTCCTGGCTCCACACTGTGAGCGGCCCGTGTTCTCCTGAGAAGAGGGCTCCCCTGACTTTGCAGACAGCTGGACTCCTTCCCCACAGGACTTTGGGGCCACCAGCACTGATGAGAGCCCATGAGTTTTGTTTTTGTTTTTGTTTTTTTCTCTTTGATCATAACCTGGCAAGTTGGGGTGCCTGATTCCATTGTATAAGAAGGGAAACTGAGGCTCAGATTGAATACACTTACCGAAGATCACACAGGAAATATGTGACAAAGCCAGGAACACAGGGAGAAGGAAGGAAATGGGCTTGTCCCAGCTTTTCTTTCCCAAATCCACAAGGTTTGAAGAATCAAAGTCCTGAAGATCTTTAATTGAGATGTGCTATTTACTGGCCATGACCTACTATGAAGATAGCCTTGAATGGCTTGGATTTTGAGTAAATCAAGGCTAGAGACCTGTTTAGGGTATAAGACTCATTGAGGTGGGCCAATAAAATGAAAAGCCAAAGGATAGTCTCCACTCTTGATCTATTTTCAACTACATTTTTGGTAAATCAGATCCAAATCCCTCAGTGTGGGAAGGAGGTGGGTGCTAGAGTCCTGGTGTGAGAGATTGGTGGGGAAGGAAGGGCAGAGGCAAGGGCAGCCCAGCCAGCTCACAAAGGAACTTGACCTTAATCCTGGAAAGCAGGCATTTTTCAGCACGGGGGAGCTCTCTATGAGGATTTAACAATTGTTACGTATTTAATGGTTATCTAAAGGACAGTTAGAATGAACCTGTTGTGGGTCATCTGGAAAACCATGTGATGATGAAGTGCCACTGACTGTCTGCCATTAGAGCTTTGCTGGAGGCTGTCCTGCCCAGTGGACGCCCAGCGAGGTTTACAGATTCAGATGTCCACAGGGACCAGGAATGAAGTGAGCACTGGTGGCCGCAGCAAGCCAGGGAGTACAACCCCGTCCAAAGGCAGCTTCTCTGCAGCCCTGGGCACCTGTTCCCAAGTTGGAGAGTGGGCCCAGGGTTGTTAGAGCTTGCCCTTTTGTCCGAAGAAGCTATGAAGTCTCCTGGATTCTAAATGTCAGCACAAATTTCAGATTTTTCAAGAGTACTGTGTGGCCAACTAAATCCATTTACAGAATGGTTTTGCCCTCATCTAACCCAAAGTGGCACCGCTTGACATCTATCAAAATAGTTCTCAAACTCAGGTCCATGGAACTTTTGGGAGGAACCATAGTTCTCACTTTGAGAAATGCTCCTAGGAGATGAGGTAATGAGCAAGAGAGTAAGCTTCTCTGGTCCAGTGTGGAAGGTGGGTTGGAAAAAGAGAAGACACAGAGGGTCAGTGAGAAGAGGGAGGAATGTTGATGTCTGAGGATGAGGATGTCCATCAGAGAGGACACAGACATATTCTGCATTTCTGCACGTCAGTGGAGATGCCTCACACCCATCTTGTTTCTGAAATGACATAAAAATACCTTATGTGTATGTCGCAGGTAGTTTCCTAAACCTTTTAGCATTTGATTCTTCCACCCACCCCATGGCTTGGCAGACTGGGTTTACAAACAGACCCAGGGAAGAGCAGATGCTGCGGCCAGAGAGGTTTGCTACTGGCCTGGGCCTGCTGAGCGTAGCACAACGCTCCCCTCTACACCACGGGCCTGCCGATGCCATGGCAGACAGGATGCTCAGTTTGCTGTGCCCATGTTCATGGTCCTTCTCCTTAATGCTTACTGAGACTCAGTGTGTGCCAGGTACCTGGAGAGGGGCATTTTCTAGTGAACTTAGTAAAACCTACAGCCATTCTCTGAGTCAAGTCCATCTATATAGTAAGGAGGCTGAGGTTCAGAGAGGTTAAAGATTTATATGGTGGGCAACAGAGCCCAGGTTCAAAGACCAGTTCCTGAGTGTAGGCTAGAGAATTTCCCACTATATACAACTACCTCACATTACTGCAGGCTAAATAGAAATTTGAAGCTCTCTAGTATTTTAAGATTACTTTGCTTACACATATCCCATCACCCCAGTGGGCCAATGGGGTGTGCCTAATTAGCCCTGAATGAGGATTAACCACAAGGGAATTTGGTTCAAGATTTGCAGACACATTAAACTCTTACTTCAAAAAAATAATTTTTTTAATCTAACACTTGATACAGATTTCCTAGTGCAATAAAAATGAATGATTTTATTTCGACAGATGGAAAAAAATGTGCTTTCTTTTTATAGCACATTTTTGTACTTTTTCAGTTTGACTACTAGACTGTGAGATTTGCAATGTGTACCCCAGCCCCTCTAGCACAGGCCCAGGACAACAGGGGTCTTCTCACGATGTGGGCCCACTCAGGCTGTGGCCAAGGATCAGGAAAAGACAGTAAAAGCTTTGTGGTAGAGGGGGTGGGGTGGAGCAGGGTCGTCCCCTGTCCCTTCCTCGTAACTGCTCCTGAAGTCAGACTCCTACCCTGCCCCCATGCAATGTGGTAGGATCTCTTCTGAGCCTCCTGTTATAAGTAATTGATGCTTAAAGGAGCTAGAATCTAAGGGTAAAGACCTTGAGCACTCAAGTTACTCTCCCCTCTATAAAACAGAGCTTCAGGGACCAGGGGAGAGGCTTTCATTAGGTTATGGGTTCCTGGGACCAGGATTCCTCTTCACTCTTCTTCCTCCTCACATCCAAATGGAAGCAAACAAGGTGATTTTCCTGTAAACTCCTAAGTTCTCATTTCACATGCATATCTTATTAGTCTTAGTCCTTCAAATGGTGCATTCATTGCAATTTAGAATTTACAGTCGACTTTTATGCAGTACATTTCATTTACATTCAGCAGAAATGATACTTAAGGAAAACATTTTTTAAATATTCACTTGACAATATCATTTGCCACCTTTTTTACTTTTCTTTCTTTCTTTCTTAGGCATTCTCTGCATTGGATAAAGAGAACACAGGATTTGTAAAGGCTACAGAATTCGAACAAGTTCTTAAAGATTTCTGTTACAAACTAACAGACAACCAGTATCAATATTTTTTGAGGAAACTAAGAATTCATCTAGCTCCCTATATACATTGGAACTATTTTCTCCAGAACTTCAACTGTTTCCTTGAGGAGGTAAGGCTATCCAGCATCCCTGTAAAAATGAGCTAAAATTAGTTTTGACAAAATGGATCATTGATTAAAACTACCTTAGATAAATTTGCAATCATCTCATGTAATTAGCTCATTCTAAATGAAACATTGTTATAAATTCTACATAGACTATTCGAGGGTAAACATGCATCCTTTACTTTGTTAGAAGGTTTTCATTTTATTTTATTTTTCAGAGAATTTTGGGAACTTGCTTTTATCTGATTGTTTGAGAGTTCTCAGGAATCTTAGATCCCAGAAGATGATCCAGAAATAAGATTACTAGAGCAAATACGGTGAACTTTTTTAAGATTTGAGATTAGTAATAATAATAGCAGCAAACACTATGAAGTGCTTTCTGAGTACCAGCCACTATTCTTATTCTCTATACATGTATATGATGTATACTCTTTTTGAGGCCACCATGAGGTATGAACTACTAATGTCCCCATTTTATAGATGAGGCCCTCGCACAGAGACATTAGCTGCTGTCCACAGTCACCCAGCTGGTGAGTGGCAGAACAGATTTATAGACTGGACTCCAGGCTTTACTTTTTTTCCATCTTTGTTATTTAGATGAATATTCCCAAACAATATATACTATTGTGTTGCACGTTTTTGAACTTTATGTAAGTGGTATTGTATTGAATGTTGTCTTCTGCACTTATACTGTCTTGCTTATATCAATATATTTAAGATTTATCCATGTTAATACACTGTTTTTAGTTCATTCACATAAGCTGCTGTAAAATGTCTGTGAAACGAATATATTCTTTGAAAGAACATGCTACCACTCAGTTATCATCTTCCTGTTAATGAACACGTAGGTTGTTCTGTTTCCTTCATTCAAGCTAAGCCCCGTCAACCCTCTGTGCCTGTCTCCTTGTGCACACATGGGAGCTATTGTGTGTGGAACTGGTGATGGGAATGCGGGCCATGTTCAGTATCCCCAGATGCTGCCAACGTGCTCCCAGGTGATTGCAGCAGTGCACACTTCCACCAGTGGTAATGAGAGTCCCTGACATACCATATCCTGCTGTTAACACACATCTTAACTTCCTCCAATTTGATCATTAGTGAGGTCGAATACTTTCATGTGGTCAGCTATTTAGATCTCATCTGCAAATTACCTGAAAGGATTCCAGTCCTTTGTTGGCATGTGAGTTGCAAATGCTTTCCACTGGTCTGTGACTTGTCTTTGTGTTTATGGGGACTCTCACTATTATTAACAATTATATCTTTTTGTAATTTTAAAAGAAATATTCATTGTGAAAATTCAGGAAAACATTCAAAAGAAAGTGGTAACCTAAGCCCCACAGTGATGATCCGATGACAAGAACAACCTTTACTGCCATTTAGTGAGCACCTGCTAAGCTTGGGCCCTTCACCTGCACTTTCTCATCATGCTGTTGTCTCCAGTGAAGAAGGTAGAACAGACAGGCTTCAAGAAGTCAGGTAGCCACCTGGCCACCTCAGCAATGAGTGGCAGCTGGGCAGTTCCATTTTAGAGCTGATGCTCTTCCTACATGCCACACTGCCTCCAAGATCTTTTATTTTTAATGCATTTTTTTAGCAGAGTAGAGATAGGGCACCCCCTCAGGTCCCCTCCCACTGTGGGAACTTTTCTGTCCTCTCAACAAATCCTACTTTCTCATTTTAAAAAAACAGAGTAGAGATGACACGGTATGTATAATCGTGTATCTTGCTTTTTTTCACTTAACATTAAATTGCACCACATCACCTAAAGGTTTTCCAGTATCAGTTAAAATGTCTACATTGTATAACATTCCATCAACTCCCTCACTTTCAAGCATTTAAATTGTTTTCCAGCTTTTGCCACTGTGATTTTCTCTACAGTGAACACTTTGTATTTAAATCTATATCCACATTTTAGATTCTTCTTTGGGGAAGAAGAAAATCTAAGAAATAAAATAACTGGGGCAAAAAAATAGGGATTTTTAAAAATTAATCTTGAAAGCAGTCCCTATTTTTAAAAAATAATTATTTTCTATTAGGCTGAATTATATAAAATTATAATTTTTAGATCAGGTTTGGCGTCTCATCCCTGTAATCCCAGCACTTTGGGATGCCAAGGCAAGAAGAGGATTGCTTGTGCCCAGCAGTTTGAGACCAGCCTAGGCAACATAGCAAGACCTCTTCTCCACAAGAAAATCAGGAAATTAGCCAGATGTATTGGAATGCACCTATAGTCCCAGCTACTTGGGAGGCTGAGGCAGAAGGATTCCCTGAGCCCAAGATGCTGAGGCTGCATTGAGCTGTGATTGTGCAGCTGCACTCCAGCCTGGGTGACAGACATTAGCTGCTGTCCACAGTCACTCAGATTCAAAAAAAATTATCATTTGTAAAGTCATAAATGATTGAATATTGACAATTTCATATATTTAAGCTAATATTTGTAGATTTTTTATGTTCATTACACACTATTTGAAATCTACTGATAATTTTGAAGAAAATAATTAAAATTACCCCTAGGGACAACCGATGTTATTATTTTGATATATTTAGAGCCAACCCTTTTTGCTATACAAATCTCCTTTGAGAGTGGGGTCCAGAATAGACTATATATGCTGTTGAGTTTGTGAGCTGTGTTCTGTACCCTTGCAAGTCTTTAACAAACATTTTTCATTTGTATCAAAGTAATATATATGCCCATAGAGAAATAAAATTGAACTGTTGCATAAGACTTAAAACAGAGACACTTGAGTCACCCATTCAACCTCCAGTCCTGCTCCCCAGAAACAATTGATGTTTTCTTTTGCTGTTTCTTCAGCACGTACCTTCCTGTCTCTCAGTAATATACTCGCCCTTCTGTTACTTTCCTGCCCAATCTTAGGCGCTATTCATTGACTTGCTGCTGTGGTAGGTGAGGCTGGGGCTCTCTCATGCCTGCTCTCCTCTGCCTTCTCAACACTGGGATAATGGTCATTCTCCGGGTCTTCAGGCTTTCACTGTCCTCTGAAGCTAGATTTCATTTGGTGTGTTCTATTCTGTCATGTGGGTTCATTCATTCTCTCTGGGAACATGTGTTTCCTATAGGTCCATATGTACCAGGCACTGAGCTAAATGCCAGGCTTAATTGCGAACCAAACAGACACAGTCCCTGCCTCCAGAAGCCTCCACTCTAGCAAGGGAGGCAGACCAGAAGTACCAGATCACGTGCCGGATTCCAGCAGCAGCTGTGAAAACAACACAGCATCAGGGAAGGTCTGTCTGAGAGGCGACATCTGAGCTGAGACAGTGAGGGAGCAAGCACAATGACGGGAGGGAGGGACTGCATGGCACTGCTAGTGCAAAGGCTGGACAAGAGGGCGTGGGTTGTTTTGAGAAGCAGGGAGTCAACAGTGTGGCCACCTGGGTCATCCATAAAGACTTCAGCATTGACTCTAAGTCACTGGGGATTGTCTTGGTATACTCAGGCAGCCATAACAAAGTACCTGTGAGGGATCTGTAAGTGGAGGAGGCCAGGCTCAAACCTCTGCCTGGGGGCCTCTCTATTGACTCTGGAACTACCGGACCAAGGATGTGAGCCTTTCCATAGCCTTGCATATTGCCAACTTGTTTCGTCTAATGTTGGTTTGTTTTACACAAATCCCTTTGCAAAGAGTCACCTTTGCCTGTGGAAGCACCCTGCTCAACATCCTTGTGAGAAAATTGCAAAAAGAGTAGTGAGGAGAAATGCACTCAGGACAGTGGCGACCATGGTGGGCTGGGAACCCGGAGCGAAAAGGTGGCACCATCCTCGGGACAAGAGCCCCTGCATGGGCCTCCTCATGCCCTACTCCATCATGTGCAGTCAGTGCTGGAACTTGCACTGGATCAACCGCCTGAGTAGGATGTGGGAACATGGCTGAGAAGCGAATCCCTGAACCAAGGGGAATCCGAAGCATGTGCACCTACCAGGAGGACAAATGAATCTTTGAGCGAGAGACTTCTGGGCTGAATGAGCAATGGGAGACCACGAGCAGCATGACAGTGGGGCAAGAGGTGACAGCAGGGTGAGGGATGACCTTCAGGCAAGGGGTGACCACAAGCAGGTATGGTCTTAGTGAATCACAGAGTAGGCAGGGGTTTCTATTGTCCTATTTATCTGCTAGTGAGGATGGGAGGCAGTGGCAGGAACAGACCACCAGGTCTGTCCTTTGCTGCAGACCTTTAAGTCCCTTTTTCTGAGCAAAGAAGAATCTCAAGTTCTGAGCAAGGAAGTGGAGCCAGCTTCCTCAAGGGTGGCTGAAGGGTAAGAAGGCTGGGGAAGAAACCCAGACTGTGTTCACCATAAAGACGTCCAAAACCAAAGCCCAAGGTTTTTTCCCCCCTTTTTTTAATAGAAGGGAAAAGAAGTAACAAATAATAGGAATATTTAATGCATCATCCTTAAGCTCATTAAATATGATACCACTCATCCTTTTCCTCTAGGGGATGCACAGGAGGCAAGTAATTAAAAGGAGATTACCAAAATGTAATTAAGACAGTCGGCACCTCTCCTCGCAAAGCAAGTTCACTGTGGATAATCCCTAGCCAAACCAAATCCATTCTTGGAAAGGGAAAAACTGGAATTGTCGTTAAGACGTCGCCTAAAACCTTGAGCAGATTGAAAGTACACAGAGAGTAAGGATGACAATTTTACACCGACTCATAATCCATTTCTTATATTGGATAGGCCACTAAAGCTGTCCTCAAAAACTTTTCTTATTCTTGTGCCTCATCTGCCTGTCACACAGACATGCAGAAATGATCTGAGCTCTCCTCACAGCAGATGCTGCATGCTTTCTGATCCCCAGTGTGTGACTTTGCCACGCATTCTCATCTCCTTGCTCCTTCTGCTGCTTTAAGCAGCACACAAGTCAGGCCGTGCTTCTCAAAGGGTGAGGCACAGGCCACCGGCCACCCAGATCAGCCCAGCCCAGGGCACCAGACTGGTCTCCACAGGTAGGATCAGGAGTCTTCCTGTGCAGCAGGCATGGAGC